ACACAATATATATATATATATATATATATTATTTATTTAAAAAATATGATTCGAATCGCTACATAAGAGGTCTCATGTTTCAAAACAAATTGAGCCGAAAACTTCAATATAATCCTTTAAATTAAATTGAGTTTAAATTAAAATTTCGCTTGAAGATGGAATTCCATCTTCATTTAAACTTTTTGTTGGAATCAACAAGGATTATATTCAAACAAAAATTTGCTTTGAAACATGAGACCTCTATGTAGCGATTCGAATCATATTTTTAAATAAATAATATATTTATGCTCTTACTTTTGTATCGAGCACTATTTTTAAAAATAATAACTAAAATACTAAGGGACTTTGGATTATTTACCTAACCAGTTCCTTCCTATTTTCTATATATTTTCATATATATATATATATATATATATATATATATATATATGGGGGGGGCGACTTTGATTATCTGGGATAGTGGAGGAATAGTGGGGTTGAAAGTGGTTACTAGAGGGATGCGTCTGGATTTATTTTTTAATTTTGTACATTAGGAGGTGTCTTCTCTAGGCGTAGAAATTGCTTTATTTATTTGTTCCCTGATTAGGTGTTGTTTATAGCCCCGTGTTGTGAATTGATGCTCCAGATTTTCAATGTGTTTGTTTAGGTCTTCATTGTTGGAAAACTTCCTCTGAGTCTAAGTGCTTGTGAATAAGAAATGTTCTCCTTGAAACGTTTATATATATATATATATATATATATATATAATTTTTTTCATATGATTTTAACAATTTACTCACTACAAAGATGCAATTTCGTTTCAGTGCATTTAAAATTTCACTTTGACTGGTAAGAACCAAACGAAATTGAATCTTTGTAGTGAGTAAATTGTTTTTGTCTATATGAAAAAATTATAATTAATTATAGCTCTACTATAGGTATTGAGCCCTCTTTTGAATTAATACTGTGAACGTTAGAATTTATATATTATTTTAAGTTCTCAGTACATTCGGATATATATATATATATATATATATATATATATATATATATATATATATATATATACAGAGTGCCTAGTAAAAAAAGCGGCAAATTTATTATCACTGTTTTATATTTAAGGAAGACCTTGACCTTGAATAACCTTGAATAAATTTCTTGAATATTCATGACCTTGAATAATCATTCGACTCTCACGTAATTACTTAATTCTGAGTCGTTCTTTTATGATTGATTTTAATTTAAAGGTTATTTGCAGACAACTTTCGTCTTTCATTTTTCCCTTCTAGTATGGCTAAACAATTCCATGATTTGGGGCTTCAAGTTATTGGACTTTTCAAAGAACATCCGACGTGGGGATTGACACAATGTGCAGAAATTCTTCCTGAATTTTTCAGTCTCGTCATTCGTCACCAGTTTTCAATGTTTGTCTTACGTCTTTCTGAACTTACCGCTTTTTTTTTTTTTACTGGACTCACTGTAGGTAAATACCTATTGTTTCTGGTGTAGTGAGTTAAGGCCGCGACACAAATGGTTGAATGTAGAGAAAATACGCCGTAGTTAGCAGCAGCAGCAGCTGACGGATGAATGATTAAAAAAAACTCAACAGAAACTCTCTGTTTGAGCTAGCATCTTTTGTTGACATGTTGAGATCAAAGATGTCGCCAGTAGCTTTATCATCTCTGAGGCAAGAACAACTGTCCAATATGCAAGCCAGATTCACTCGAGAATTGCAACTTTGTGCTAGCAAAAGACAAAGCACTTTTTGCAACCAGCTTAAAGAGGTCCCTACAAGGTAATGAAACGTTCTTTATTTACATTATTCGGACTATTGTCCTCATCTTTGTCGCCATATTTATTATAAAATTTCGGCCGTTGTACGCTCCGGCCTTCTTCAGGTGGTTGGAATGTCGAGCTGAACCCTTTATTTCGCTCACTGGGGTAGACTGTTCTAGATCCACGTGCTATGTGTAATGGATATCAGTCAAAAACATGCAATGATAACAGCAAAAGTTGCAATATGAGCACTGGTAAAAAAATGATTGCTGAAGACATTAGGTTTATAATACCCAGAAATTCATATACATGGCACAGTGGATAAAGGCGTTAGTTAGATCCAGTGACAGGACCCAAAGTGTGTGAGTTCAATACCTGATTAAGGCAGTGGAGACTTTAATTAATTAATTAATGTTAATTCCCCATTAACAGGAGATAACTGACAACTGACATCCATTAAAACATGGCACGTGGAACTAAACAGTCTACCTCAGTGAGCGAAATAAAGGGTTCAGTTCTACATTCCAACCACCTGAAGAAGGCCGGAGCGTACAACGGCCGAAACGTTGTAACAAATATGGTGACAAAGATGAGGACAATAGTCCGAATAATGTAAATAATGTACATGATACCTCATCTCAGAAATAGAGACAGATACTAAAGGGCCGAAACGTTGTGATAAATATGGCAACATAAATGAGGACAATAAAACAGTCTACCTCAGTGAGAGAAATAAAGGGTTCAACTCGACATTCCAACCACCTGAAGAAGGCCGGAGCGTACAACGGCCGAAACGTTGTAATGAATATGGCGACAAAGATGAGGACAATAGTCTGAATAATGTAAATAGTGTACATAATACCTCATCTCAGAAATAGAGACAGATACTGAAGGGCTGAAACGTTGTAATAAATATGGCGACAAAGATGAGGGCAATAGTCCGAATAATGTAAATAGTGTACATAATACCTCATCTTAGAAATATAGACAGATACTGAAGGGCTGAAACGTTGTAATGAATATGGCGACAAAGATTAGGACAATAGTCCGAATAATGTAAATAGTGTACATAATACCTCATCTCAGAAATATAGACAGATACTAAAGGGCCGAAACGTTGTAATAAATATGGCGACAAAGATGAGGACAATAGTCCGAATAATGTAAATAGTGTACATAATACCTCATCTTAGAAATAGAGACAGATACTAAAGGGCCGAAACGTTGTGATAAATATGGCAACATAGATGAGGACAATAAAACAGTCTACCTCAGTGAGAGAAATAAAGGGTTCAACTCGACATTCCAACCACCTGAAGAAGGCCGGAGCGTACAACGGCCGAAACGTTGTAATGAATATGGCGACAAAGATGAGGACAATAGTCTGAATAATGTAAATAGTGTACATAATACCTCATCTCAGAAATAGAGACAGATACTGAAGGGCTGAAACGTTGTAATAAATATGGCGACAAAGATGAGGGCAATAGTCCGAATAATGTAAATAGTGTACATAATACCTCATCTTAGAAATATAGACAGATACTGAAGGGCTGAAACGTTGTAATGAATATGGCGACAAAAGATTAGGACAATAGTCCGAATAATGTAAATAGTGTACATAATACCTCATCTCAGAAATATAGACAGATACTAAAGGGCCGAAACGTTGTAATAAATATGGCGACAAAGATGAGGACAATAGTCCGAATAATGTAAATAGTGTACATAATACCTCATCTTAGAAATAGAGACAGATACTAAAGGGCCGAAACGTTGTAATAAATATGGCGACAAAGATGAGGAAAATAGTCCGAATAATGTAAATAGTGTACATAATACCTCATCTTAGAAATAGAGACAGATAATGAAACGTTCTGTTAAATAGTTTACCATAACTATTAACAACAAACAAAAAAACAGCTCCAATGACCCTTTAAAACTGACAGATATGGATACTGTCAATAAAAATTTCTTGCTTTGAAAACAAGAAGAGACCGACGGATCAAATTGCTTCAAAAAAGCATATCCCCACATCATATGAAAAATGCCCCATTCATTTTGAGATTGTTTTCCGATTATCTCGCTGGGTAGTGTAGTGAGATTAGGCCAAGACGCAAAGGACTGGTTGTAAAGAAGTTATTTGTTAACTTAACAGCGGCAGAAGTTGATAGACGCTTTAAAAAAACAAAAAACGATGTTCAAAATAAAGCTCTCTCTTCATTTTTTGTCTTCACCTAATGCGTAAGGTTACATGCTATAACAGGAAGCACTTCTCTCCAGCCGGTCAGGAAGTAGTACTTTTTCTTTGTTCAGAAACGTAGACTTTTGGATTCGGATTCTGTTGCTTAACGAAAGACGTGCATTTTATCTACAGCCAGATTTCTCCACGGGGAATATCCATACACGTCACTAGTTATTATACATGAATTGATTTAAGCTGTGAAACCGTGACGATTTCTTATTTTGGGTCGGGGAAGGTCTTTTCGAACATATTAGATTTTCTTTTAAAATGGGGGAGAGAGTAAAAACAAATATTTTTTTTAAGAAAAAGCAAAAAAAAAATAAATATATAAAGCATATAAAGCATAACATAATGTACATCCAGGGATTAATTTCTGAGCCACGAAAATGCGGAAGGATAAAAATATGATGGTTTGGCGTCCTGAAACCAATAAACATGTTTCGTCATCGCTAAATCTAAACACTGATTTATTTATTTATTTTTAAATAATATGCTTCTTCCAAGTTTAGAAAAATAGTGTATCTTTGAGGAGTTAATATAAAATTGAAATAATCAAGTAGAAAATTTACAATTGAAAACGAATAGAAATAGCAACTGATACAGACGGAAAGTAATATGTAACTGCCATAAGTCAAACATCGTGACGAAAATATTGATGAATTAGTCCGGAATAGGAACAAAGAAAAGGGAGTTAAAAAAGAGTATTGTTCATCTCATCTCATAAATATTGAAAATTGATTGTTCTAAACAAATTCTGAAGGTTAAAATTCTCTAAATGCTGCGATTTTAAACTAAACCAATCGTTTTAGTGTTAAAATCATCACACCGCATCATTTTTTTTAATGACTTTTGGTGAAAAAAATTTACCCTGTTTCAAAATTTTATAGCGAAGTTTCAGTCTTAAATAAAAAGAGTAAATAAAAAAATAAAATAAAACTTATCCCATTTCATATTTTGAAAGTTAATGAAGGTTTTGTTATTTAATATTTACACCTCTTACAATTTCATAGTAAACCATGCGCTTTATCTTTTTAAAAATATGGGAAAAAAATGAATGAAAAAGAAGGAAAAATGAAAGAAAATAAATGAAGATAAAAAAAACGAAAGAAAGAAGAAAACCAAAAGAAAGGAAAACGAAAGAAAAAGAAGAAAAACGAAAGACAAAGTAAGATAAGAAAAACGAAAGAAAAGAAGAAACTAAGGAAAGAAAAATAAGGGAAAAAAGAAGAAAAAAAAACAAAAGAATAAGAAGAAAAATAAAAGAAAATAAACAAAAAACGACAGATAAATGAGAAAAACCGAAAGGAAAAGAAGAAAAAATGAAAGAAAAAAAGAAAAGATGAAAGAAAAAAACGAAAGAAAAACGAACGGAAAAAAAGAAAAAATGAAAGAAAAAAAGAAAGTATGAAAGAAAAAGAAGAAAAACGAAAGGAAAAAAAGAAAAAATGAAAGAAAAGAAGAAAGTATGAAAGAAAAAGAAGAAAAACGAAAGGAAAACAAGAAAAAATGAAAGAAAAGATGAAAGAAAAAAAAAAGAAAGGAAAAAAAGAAAAGATGAAAGAAAAAACGAATGAAAAACGAAAGAAGAAAAAGGAGAGAGGTTAAAAAGATTATTGCACTTTTGCGTTACTTTATGTCGCCTCAATAAATATTAAAAACTGATCGATCGAAACAAATTCTGAAGCTTAAAATACTCTAAATGCTGCGGATTGAAACCAAACCAATGATTTTAGTATTAAAAACTTTACCGTTCCTTACCTTTTTATACTAAATCAAGGGATATTACCTTTTTAGTGAAGACTTAAGCCCAAGACATACTCTCATAATTAGATCCTCTTATCTGACCAGCTTCTTGGTAATTGCCAAGTTTGTTTTTTCTTCTCTTTTCAATTTCTTTTCCTGATTTATCGATTCTATATTTATCCTCTATAAAATTGTGTGAATTTATATTCTTTCCATCTGGCATCCATCGCCTCCCATTTCCAGTCGTTTACTGTATATCTTTGATAGTTTATGCTCAGATCATTTTCTTAAAACGTACAAAGTCGGAGCCGGGATAAATTTTTTTGGCACTAGAACTCTTGAAAGTACGAAACGAGTTAAAACTTTAACCACCAAAACCTTATCTTTAGTTTAGATTGCTGTTGCTTCGCGCGTCGTTTCTGGATTCTAATGTTCGATCGGCAATTCCCCAGTAGGGATCCCAATGCTGCATCAACAGACTCAATCAACGATAGGCAATTTTTTTTTTTAAATTTAAATCATCATTCGCTTTATTTTTACTAATTATCATTCGCTTTCGAGGGAGCGACAAGGAGAGTAAGAGAAAGAACAGATGTCAAAAGGTGGGACAGTTACCTATCTTTTCCACGTGGTAGTTTGTCTTCTTGCTGAAACGATGGCACACAGAGGACTCTGGGAGAGGACAACATCAGAGTGTTTACCGAAACGGAACTGCTCGTTTTTCAGTCTTATATATATATATAAAAATAAGAAAAAACTGGCAAGGGCAATCCGTCATTGTCAAGATTCAACGCGACGGGGTTCAAAACTGCACCTACTCAGTTCTTGTCATTTTTGCCTAGCCTAAACATTCTGTGACATTGGCAGCATTTTGAGTATTTTAACTTTCAAAATTCCTTTATATCGGCCATTTTTAAAAAAAAATATATATTTCTTAGGGCGGCGGAGGCGGTATGAAAGGCTAAAATCGAGTTAAATGTGTAGATAAGTATATTATGTTATAGTAACTACGAACATGACCTGCTTGTCAGCTTTAAAATCATCATTCAAAATTTTGGCCTCTAGATGGACTTGAACACCAACCGCAGGCACCGGTGGTAAAAATATAATTATATCAGTAACGACTTGCTGCACGGAATATATACTTTCATTCCACGATGTTACTCCTTTCCTCAGTCACCGTTTTTGTACGGTCTGTGTTCTTGATTTGTATGTAAAGAGTTACTTCCCCTTGAATTTCCTAGTAAATCTTTCTTGGGTATCATTGCTATTTCAACAGCAATATAAAATGTTTATTAAGTGTTTTCTTTTTCTTTTGTCTCATACAGTGGTTGTAGTTGTGATATAATGTTTTATTGGAGTCGACCCCAGTCAATATCTGTATTCTGGGCGCCGGTATAAATTTTGAGGGCTAAATGTTTACTACGATCGATACAGGCCTTGTCTCATGTAATAGGACATCAGTTGGAAAAGGGTCAACC